ATGAAAAATACCAACACATGCTATTTCAGTCATTCCCTTTTAACGCTTCCTCCAAGTCTCCCTTCCAGCACTGACGCCACTCAGAAAGAACCAGGAGCTAAAGACAAAGCTGATTGACTAGCAGCCACGCACAGTGATAAGTGACTATTCTCCAAAAATTCATTTCACTGTTTCTTCTTAAAGCACGCTGTATTTAACTTTCTTCTCTCACCCTTCAAAGTTCACTCCCTAAGGAAGTTTAACTATGTGACCGACACCCTGGAGACACCACCATCTATCCCTGGAATGCTGGTAATGCTCAGGAAACAGGAACCTTTATAAAAATGGTTGTATTTGTCTGTAGCAAATTTTTAAAATTATAAATGAAATCAGATGGATGTCTAAAATTTACCTGTCCCGAAGACTACGTGTTTTTGCTTGGATGATTCCCAAATCCCACAGAGCTGGGTTTTTCCGAGGATCGTTCATTTTATGTCCATATACTTCAATGGCCAATGCCCCTTCTGAAAGATGCTCAATAAAGTCTTCAGTAATGTTAACAGAAAACTCCTGAAATACAATAGCTAATTACATAAGAGCAAACACTCTCTGGTAATCTTACAATTATGTGTATCAGACATCATATACTTAATTATATCACGGAGGAAAGAAACAGAAAACAGAATGTTTTAGTTGTAGAACACCTATAATGACTGCTCAGCTGCCTTGAGGTTCCTGACTATAAAATAACTATGGCTCTGAACTTTAAACTTTTCACCTTGAAAGTCTAGAATGTAAGACCAGCACTGTATTCTATTTTGTCAGCAATATTTTGGGAGCTATTTTCAAAAGTATAATTGTATTAAGTATTACCACAATGATCTATAGATCATTTACAGTCAGCTCCAAAACAGTTTATTAAAGGTGGTCATGGAATCTTCTGTCTTGACAGAGACACGTGTCTCCCTCCTCCCCCATCTCTCTTTCTCCCTCCTTCCCTCCCTCCATGTTTAACAGACTGAAGGTATTCCTCTGTTTTAAACAGATTAGAAAGAGACCTCTCTCTTAAAAAGGAAACACGAGGGCTGGTCGGTTAGCTCACTTGGTCAGGGCAGCGGCGCGATCATCAGATACAACTGCGGAAAGCACCAAATCAAAGAATAACACACGGGGTTCAGTGGAGCGTTAGCTCTGTCTGCCATCTCTTCACTTGCTCTAAAACACCAGCTTCTTACCCTTTCTAGATAACATTTTCTCTAGTAATCTAATACAAAACATGGACTCCCTCTGGAGAAAAGCACACACATATACAGGTACATATATATCTTTTTTTCACACAAAAAGTTAACTTTTGGCTGTGGAGGGTTTAAATCTGTTGATATGTAAGTTTTTACTCCATCCCCACTCAAAGAAACTCTGCTCCAAGGTATGTATTGGAACAATTATTCAAAGAAATGAGGCTCGTTTTTCTATTTTGTTTTATATGAGTAATCAAAACATTGACCAGGTCTGAAGAACAAACTCACACTGCAGTGATCGAAGACCACCATGCACTGGGGCTCCTTGCTGACGGGAGAGGAGGACGTGTCCACCTCAGGTGCAACGATCACAGGCTCCTGCTGATCCCAGAAGCTGTATTTGCAGAATACAAAATGGCACAGATGCTGTGGCAACCCAGTGGCCTGGAGTATTTTAACCTGAAGGAAAAAGGAGGCTCTCTTTACTTTTAAATCAGAAGGTTCCAAGCAGTACTTTGAGTCAGAGACGTGGTTCCAGTCTTGACTGTATTGGTTTATGTTGGCCGAGTCCCATTCACTCTGGGACTGTATCTCTGCATCTATGAAATGGTGACAACTGTCGTATTCAGAGAGAGCCTGACCCAGGGTAACAATGACGTTGATGGTAACGGTGGACATTGTAAACCACTTAGAGGCTGATGAAGAGCACTTAAGTTCTATTTTCTTAGAACATAATAAGAAGATTATAAAAATAATAATGAATTCAGAAGAGGGGAGTTCTCAAACATCAACACTGTTCCATGGCACAAATTTGGCCAACCATGGACACATCATAAGAACAGAACAAGATTGTTAAGTATGATGGAAAGAGAATGGAATCAGTGCATGTGTCAATAAATAACAAATATTCAGAAAAGGGCAAAACATTTATTTGATATTTTAAAATATAAAGAGAAACAAGGTTCTCAAATAGTGGTGTTAAAAGCTACTACAGACTTTGCCGGGAGAGTTTTAATGGCATTGGGAATGTATAGTTTGAAGACGTGCAGGGCAGTGCAGGAAACTGAAGATGGTGGATGTTGGGGGACGGGCATTTCAAAGGGAAAGTGCACCGCCCTGGAGGAGTGTGGGCTTGTGTGACAACAAAATGTGATGAGAAATATGTGTCTGATCAGACCCAATGCCCCAAAAGAAATGCCTATAACAGATTTTAAAGCAGCCAAATATTCTTAATATTGCTAGCAGGCAACATAGGGCTGACTTTTAATTTAGAGTTTCTGTGATAAGCCGTGATATTCTAACACTCCTCTTGTTGGAGTGAGTAGGACTGAAGCCATGTTGGGACCTAAAATTTTTAATTTAGAGTTTCTGTGATATTCTAACACTCCTCTTGTTGGAGTGAGTAGGACTGAAGCCATGTTGGGACCTAAAATCACATGGGCCCTATGCAAATTTTAAAAGGACACAATTTTTTTCCTCAGCATGCATTTCTCTGAGTTCCCTCTTTTCCCATGGTTATTTGATGTTTGGAACCTTGGTTATGGGGCAAGATGACATTATTTTCATGAATGCAAAGTTGTTTTCCAGCTAGCCTCAAGCTGCAAACTCGCGCACCCTGGGAAACCAAGGAAGACATCATCGATACAGCTGTGCTGATTCCATCCTCCAGCAGGACCCTGAGACAATAGCAAGGACGGGAGCAGAAACCAGACGGAGCCTTGGCGAGACCTTGCACCTGGCTCCTTGCATGGAGCCCCCACGGCTCACGTCCCCCTCCCTCCCGCTTTTCACTTCCCACGTTCCATTCCCTCAGCCCCCTCTTTAAAACCCCTCAGTAAATGTGAGTATTGGAGGTGACTTTAGTCTGGACATTCTCCTTCAGGTTTACTGGAGAGATGGGTCAGCCTAACATCTCTCCTCAGGTCACTGGTATTCCTGAATAAAGCTGACTTCCATTTTCACCAACATTTGACTTTTTGAGTTGTTTGCTTTGGAAAGGGGGCAGACAGCTGGGCCTGTGTGCCTGGTAACACTTTGACTATGAAGGAAACTAGATCCTAAACTTAATTAAGCTAAACTAAATTCTGATTTTAAAACTAATCAAGCTAATTTTCACATGATTGAGTATTAATCATAAATTATATTCCTCACCTGGTCACTTTCTGCATGTTGTATGATTCACTCCACCTCCAATGAATAAATGAAAATAAATCTGAATAAGTGGCATAAATCCACGTAGGTCAGCAACTACAAATACAACCTTAATATTTCAAGAACTATTAATAATGACACAGAAAACCATGCGAAGCAGACGACCTTCTTTCCTTCTATACCAGGCACATAATGGAGAGGGATGGACGAGAAGTCCCACTGTAGTTGTTTCCTGTGATGTCGACAAGGGTCTGAAACATCTAATAGCAGTTCCCTGACAGGCTACGAAAGACAGACTGGCTGACAAATTTTATTCCTCCAAACCAAACTCAGCAATCAGTATTGTGCAATTAATTTTTCACAAAATTTTAAAAACCATCATTTTTTAATTAAGTGTTTAAAAATGTTTATTATATTCTTATATTCTTATTCACCTTATTTAAGGTGAGACAATGTGGTATTTGGGGAGATTACACGATTTTGGAGTCACACAGATCTAAATGAAAATCTCTGCCACTTGTGAGCTTTCGTGTTGGCACAAATTACTGGAATTCTTAGTTTTCTTAGGCTTAGTTCTCTCCTGGGTGAAGTGGGATATTAACGGCGACCTTACCATCCTGGGTGAGACTGACCACACCAGGGGAATGCGTGAAAGGAGGAAGACAACAGCAGGCTCTGAGCAGACGTCCAGCACATACTTCTCTGTGGCCAAATTCCACCCCCAAGCTAATTTTTCTGTGCAGAAATTAATTCCAACTTTAAGGTTGAAATAAACAAGAAACAAGATTTAAAATATGCTGAACTCTCCTCCACAGGCAACTTCTCAGGACTGAGAATGCCAGGAATGAAGAATTTCAGAATTGAGAAATAGCTAGATATCCAGAACATAGGTTGTTTTTTTTTTTTTTTTTTTTAAGTTTTGCATACAAAAACTAAAATCACCACAAGGTGTCACAATACCACGGAGTTCAACTTATAGCTACTAAAGACAGAGGAGCTAAGAAATGACCACAGGCACTGATGTTTTTTGAGGTTTTAAAACATACTAACTTTACCTAATAGAACTGAAAATACTGCTATGATAATATGTGTGTGTTTTTTCATTATGGAAAAATAAACCCATAAACTTTGTTTGTGGGCTGGTGATATTCGCCAACCCACAATATCTCAACTGTCTCCAGGCTGGTTTCTTGTGTTTTTCTACCAATATTTTGTTTATTGTCATATAGTTTATTTGTCCTTATCCTTTTTACACAAAAGGCTATTACATATCAGAATACAGTCTCTAAAAGCCACTTTCCACTGAAAGGAACCAGGTTCCTTGGAGAAGTGGCTGATTCCTGGGACAGGAAGTGTATAGGTGAGACCAGAATATTCATCATACCAGAAGGTAAAAAAAATCACCCCAGTCTATGACGGTTAGGGTTATGCCAACATGACTCAAAAGCCACCTGAAGTGGCTCCCACAGGCCAAAGAGCGGATTACCTGAGCTTCAACACGGGTAACAAATACACAGGATAGAGACACAAACGTGTTTAAGTCCAAGAGTTCATACAGATATTAAGACTAAAAACAAAAAAACTGGTTACTTCTTGGAAAATCAATTCATTATTTGGAAAATGAGTAAGTAAAGGGAGAGAATGGAGCATTTATCCTGCCTTTTTTCTACAAAAACTGTGTCTCTGAATAGCAACATAGTTGACAACAGAAAATTCTCTTTATGGAAGTATTCCAGCTAATCAGTGAGATGATGACAGGATTATAGCACAGCTCTGTTGTAACTCCTGTAGAAATGATGCACTAGGTAGTAGTCATCAAATGCTGCTGACATCCCCAGAAGAGAAACACCCAGATGTGGCCTCCAGGTGGAAGGACACACCCCCACCTACAAAGTGCCCTTGCCCCTCCCTCCCCAAGAAACCCCTCATACCTAACAACCAATTTATAGCAAATGCACCGTAACATGTTAAGAAGCACCCATCAGTAGAATCCAGACGGAGAAACCACAGGACAACAACCCAGTTTCTACAATAAATAAACTGCAGGGTAGGCAAGGATGAGAGAGGAGAAAGACAGAGAGAGAGAGAGAGAGAGAGAGAGAGAGAGAGAGCACGTGAGCATAAGCTGCCCGAGCCTGGATATTAAAGCAGACTTGAGAGAGACATCATCTAAGACAAGGAAGCCGATTGAATATTTCAGGATATTAAGAAATTATTATTTTATTTTATTTTATTTTTTTGTCTTTTTTGTGACCGTTAAGGGGATCACAACCCTTGGCTTGGTGTCACCTGCACCGCGCTCAGCCAGTGAGTGCACCGGCCATCCTTATATAGGATCCGAACCCGCGGCGGGAGCAACGCTGCGCTCCCAAGCGCCACTCTCTCCCGAGTGCGCCACGGGGCCGGCCCAAGAAATTATTTGAAAATCAATGTTGTACCCCACATGTATGTATAATAAAAAATAAAAATAAATAAATAAATAAAAAGAAATTATTAATTTTCGGTAATAATTATTATGTTATGCTGCTTTTTAAAGCACTTATCTTTTGGAGACACACACTGAACAATTCGTAGATGAATATGATATATGGGTTTGCCTGCATTAACCCTGACAGAGGGGCAGCATAAGGGGGCTGGAGTTGGGACTGAAACAGGCCAGGCCAGGAGCTGTCAGCTGTCATGCGTCGTGCCTGGTGATCGAGGACACTTTCTCACTACTTGTATACGTTTGGTATCTTCCATTTTAAAATATCTTAGGATAGTACAACTTCATTAAGAAACAAAAGCCCATGTTACCCGGGACATACTACTTCTTTTCCGTGATGAAGACAGACTTCCCAAGTCAGGCAGCGTGCTGTTCCCCTCGGATGTAAAAGGTGTCCTTCAGAGGTGCGTTTACCATGCGTCACCTCTGCAGCGGGCTGGTGTGACATCACGCCACCTCAGAGGTGCCACTCTGGAGTCCAGCACGGTACAGCAGAGGTGGGCCTTTCGGAGAAATAGGACCCCTCCCTCACACTGGAGTAAGTGACTTAAAACCCAAAGACCTCCTTAATACACACACAGACCTCCAGAAAGTTGCCCGACTCTGCAGTGCTGGCGCCCCCTGCCCTGCAACTAATGCGGGACTTACTCTTGCAACGTCAGGTGCAGCTCTAGAAGCACTACTGAGGACAGGGCTGGCCCTGGGTGCTTGAGAACCAAGGGCCCAGCCAAGGCTCCTCCCCTGGCCCATGACAGCCCCTCCTCACATACTGCCCGTCCACACCATGAGGCAAGGGAACAGGCCAGAGGACTCCCGCACTGTCCTGATGAGTGGGCAGACACCCCGCCACCGCCCACCTGGCAGGGCCCACAGAGCCCCTAGCACTGTGGACAAGGAGGTTCCTGTGACACCCCTCCTGCAGGCCGCCCAGTCTCATGTCCCCAGAAGTCTCCCCAGAACCTGCTACCCGAACAAACTGCCCTCCTCTGGGTCCCAGAACACCTGGTGCCGACCTCCCTCAGCCCACCTGGGTCATTTGAGCCAGGCGTCCCACTGTGCTGTCCTCACCCCCCTCTGGACACAGTGCCCGGCTGGGACACTCACACGTACTTCCCGGGTGGACAGCGTAGGAAAAGCAGAAAGAACAGGCTTTGGGACCGGGGCCGTCAGCACGTGAGCAAAGGCAGAGACAGGTGGAGAAGAACAAAGAACGTGGAGGGACAGCGTGAAGAGGGACCCACAGCAGCAGCTCAGGACCAGGGCCAGTGCAGACAGTCTCCACCCCCAGCAGGACGCAAGAGCCCCATGACAGGAGGAAACTTGTGAAAAACCTGGGCCTTTCTAGAGAGAAGTTCAGATAAACACAGACTCATACAATTTTGAAGTGGCATGGCCCTAACAAAACGGGTGACATGTCCAAGCCTTCACAGAACAAGGCACTGGAAATGGCCTGAACAAGTACTTTGGGATGTATGATGAAATACAGTCTCTGCAATACTAAAAACTAATGATTTATTTACAGACAGCTTCAGAATTAGAAAAAGAACGCAATATTTATCATCTAAATACCCATAATCCTGAAAATCTGCCCCACGTCAGCCACTTCTAAGATGAAAGTGGACTTACCATGCAGACCAGCCTGGACTCCAAGGCCTCCTTCTCAAAGGAGATGTCGGCCGCGTCATCGCCTCCTGCAATCCTGTCCCCAATTTCGCCACTGATCCGCATCACCTCCACATGCAGCCGACCTGCCACCTGCAGCAATGGGGGGAGGCAGAAACTTTTTTCCAGATTTGGTTTGTTTGCTCTTGAGATGACCTCTCCTGTTTTAGCCAAGTTGTTATGGCAATGGTATAAGAGAATTTAGAAGCCTAGTTTCTAACAGTTCCTCTCCCCTCAAATTACTTGGAATAACACCATAACGCTCTATGGAAACACAAGGTATTGATAATACACATACATATCATTTGTCATTATCGATAAAAATAGCAACGACAATATACCATCACCACCCTGCTGCTTCCAGAACTGTTCCCTGCAGGAAACAAGGCACAAAGAGAAAACCAACCTCTCCTTTCTGGTTGACGATCGGGACAGCATATTGTAACTTCACGTCATAGAAAAGGGACTCAAGGAAGACATTGGCCACCCCAATGAGACTGTGGTTTTCCTGCTCATCATAGAATGGATCCGCACGCTTGAAGTAAGATCGTATTACCTGCAAAGAGAGTCAGAACATAGGACTTCAGAACGCATTCAACCTACCGCTCTGGGATGCACTCTAAGTCATTAAACTTAACTGTCAGCACTATATCCTGAGTCTTGTGTTCATTAGAGTAAAGTAAAGTTCTTGCTGAAATCCAGCAACGTAATCTACACACTCACACACACACACTCCCTCATTCCCGTTTAGAGTGGTGGCCAGCACCCTTCACCCATGAGACAGCAATCTCAATAAGTCATTACTACTTTTATCACTTTTTCTTCTTCACATGGAAATCCTGCCACAAAAATAGAAAAAATCATATATTGACTAGAAAAAGAAGTAGAGTGTCCTAAACTCTTCGTTTCTTCTTCAGGGAGGACGGGCGTTCGTATCTGTTCTACTGGCTCCTACCAGATCATTCATGCGCTGCTGACCACAGGAGGTGACCCCTATACCCCAGGACAGTGCTTGGTTTCTTTGTATTTGTTATTATTGTGGTTTTATTTCTAAGTTGAAACCGGAGAGGTATATAGAGGGAATGAAAAATGTTTTAAGAAAACATGTCACCTAACTGTAAGAAGACATTTTTATTAATTTGGAAAAATAAATATTCTTATGAAACAAGAGACTAGGGAAGTAAACAACTCTATGCAGAAACAGGACCAGCAGGATGGAAAATATGTACAAGCACATGTAATACATATTTTTATTTTAAATCCATACAAGTAGATGATGGACCTAAGTGAGAAAACCAGTAACTGAGGAGACAGCTCCAGGGTTCAGATGGATGGCACCCGCTTTAGGATCAGAACTCCTTCAAAACATGTTCCTAATAGTATAAACACCGAGGTGCCACTGATGTCCAATCTAAAATGCACATGTGGTAGTTTCCGTATGGCAGGGTTAAATGCGTTGAGAAATGGGATAAGAGATAAAAAGGCCTGGCCTCTGTCCTAAGGAGATCCTCGGAGCAGCACAGAAGACAGACACACGCATGCTCACAGAAGTCAGAACGAAAGTGGAAAATTCTGCTGGAAATCCAGAAAATGCAAATAAGAGAAGAAAAGATACCAGAAAGACAGGTTATTAAAATTCTTAATTTGCTAAATAATTTAGAGGATCAAAATAAATTTTACTCTAGAAACGGGATTACAATTTTGGAAAAATGGACAGTTTTCCCCTGAAATGGGCAGGCTTATCCCAGCGTGGTTCCTTCTATAATTGCCAGTCAAGTCATTTTTCTTAAATAACTCACCGGGCTATCTTCTTCACACTCCTTCCACTCCTGGTAAAGGTCTCTCATATCCAACAACCTGTTGTCCAGCTTTTCCAAAGACCAAATCTGCTTTCCCTTTCCTTTTCTCCTCACCTGGATCGCAGGTTCACTAAGGAGAGAGCCTCGCTGCAGAGACAGTAAGAATAAGAATGTGTGCATGCAACACACAGACGTCCAGCGGTGAGTCAGAGCTGGGCACCCCACACCCACCAGCAGCCGGGGTCTGCAGGCAAACCCACTGGGGACTGAAGGACTCCGGTGGAGCCCGGAGCCACTGGGAAAGGGCCTCACCTTCCTGTTGGCATCCAGGCTGGAGGCAGGGATCTGGAGGGTGACTCTGTACTCTGTCCTCTTGTCCAGCTCCTCTGAGATGTAGCTAGCCTCCCTCACCAACAGATTGGCCTTGACAATTTGTTCCCTCAGCCTCAGGAGACTGTTACTCAATGTTGCTTCTCTTTAAAAAATAAAAAATAAAAGGTGTGGGTGGGCGGGGGGAGGAGATAACACATAAAGCAGCACACCAGAAAATGAGACAGTACAACATGTTAATGCCAACGTGCGAACCAGCTGTACAAACACCTTCTGCACGTAGGGAACAGACTCCTGATGCAGGCCTGTACACACACGTGTGCCTGGGCTCCAGCATGAGCGCCGCATGCACCTGGGGAGCACGCTGGCTGCAGATAAGGGCCATGCTTCACGAACTTGACAGTGTATACACATACCCCCGGGGACCTTAATAAACTCCAGGTTTTGACTGAATAGGTGTGGGGTGGGGGCCTAAAACTGCACATTTCCATCAATTTCCAGGTGGTGGGGACGCTGGCTATCTGCAGACCAGACTTAGAACTGCATGAGGTCAGCGAAGTGGCAGTCTGTGACCAGGAATAAGGCATCTCAGTGCAATGCTAGTCAGCCCTGATAGAGACCAAACTTGCAGTCCGCATCTCAGCACCACGCTTTACCCACCAGAGCTAATCAGTCCAGGTGACCAACTTTCGTTTTTTTTTTTTTTCCTTTTTTAAAAAAGCATCTACCCAAGCTTCAGAACCGAAAGCATACTACAGTGATAAAGCATACTTCGTCACTCAAATCCAAAGCCACACAAACCAAAGAGGGGACAGCACCCAACGCGGGTAGTCTTAGATCCATGTACCTTGGCAATTGTCATTTTTTCAAAAATTTATAAAAAGGTAAGAATGCGAATTTGTTCTTGGCTGTAACACTCTCTTTTAATACAAATGTTTAGCAAGTCATGTCTAAATGCTTCCCTCCAACCTTCCCAGCAGGTGAGGCCCCTGTGCTCCGCCTACCTCTCCTCCGCCCACTGCCTCAGGCGCTGCTGTGCGCTGGGCGAGTGCAGGGAAAACCTGTCCGAGCTGCTGCGACAGCTCTGCTTCTCGGGGGACAGCCGTCTCCGGAGCTGCTCCAGCTCGTGCTCGTACATGAGCCTCTGGCGCTCCAGGGCAGACCGCTTTTCTTCTTCGTGCTGCTGTTCCAGGCTGTTCAGTATCGACTGCATAGGATCTAAACACAGGTTTAAAAAAAGAAATAATGAGCAAAGGTATGACCCACCTCAAATGTTTTCTACATTGGTACGCTGTCATTCTAACACTACCAAATTAAAACCATTGAAGGCAATTTGGAACAGACTCAGCTTTTCTTACTTCCAATTACTTATGCTGTATCTGTTCTCAGTTGGATATATTCCAAACTATCTTCCACTATAGAAAAAGCAGGTCTTGGCTTGAGTATCTCATCAGAAAAAAAAAAGAGAGAGAGAGAGAGAGAGAAAGAAAAATCAGGCCTGTTGTACATTCTACACATAACCTAGCGTATGGTTAATCTTCCAGAAACAGATTACAGTAATAACAAGCCAGTGGCAGTCATGATTCAAACCTGAGAAATTCTATCAATGAGAACAAAGTCATCACTGATTTGATTGCCTATCGAGACAGAAAGAATCAAAGTTTTTGTAAATATAATAAGTTAGTAAAGCCAAGGAGACAAAAGAAGAGAGAAGAGAGGTCACCAAGGTAAAGATTTTCTTTTCTCCTAACATTTAAAAGGTCTCAGTCATAAACACATATTGCAGTCCACCAACATGAAGATTCTAGAATGCGTCGGTGATCTGCTCACCGTTACTGCCCAGGGCCTTCATGGTCACCTCCATCTGCGCGTACTCGTAATTGAAGTTGACTTCACTGGACACCTCACTGGAGGAGTCTCCGTCCACATCCAGCTGCTCAGAACTGCTGTCGTTCTTTATGGAGGGGTCTTGTCCCTCATCTTCTTGTTCTGCTTTCTTTTTCTTTTTAGGCAAGTTGAGTCTTGGTGGGGAAAAAAGCACATTATTTTAAAAATCAGATACGTACTTGGCTCCAGCATTAAATACCGCCGTTCGCTAGATGCCACAGGAACTCCATGTGAGTACAAGGCGATCACCGTACTCGAGAGGTTTATATTCCTGTGGTAGATACGCGACACCGGGCTGCATGGCCATTACAAGCTTGGTGCCGAAGAGAAGCTGAGGACCACCTGGGAGCGGAGCAATGAAGGAAGGATGACAGAGGAGGAGATATCTGAGCCGAGCCTTAAAGCACGAGCAGAAGGAAAGGCATGGGGAACAGCAGGAAGAAAGTGTGAAAACAGACAGGCGTGGTCTCGGGAGAGCCCAAGAACAAAACAACACTAGGTGTGCAGAAAGTGAGAGGCACCCAAGGGGAGAGGCAGAGAGCCGGGAAGATCACTGATCCACACCATGGCGGCCTGAACACTAAGCCAAGCAATCCACGCTTGATGGACTTTGGGAAGGGACAATTCCTTCATGCTCTTTGAACCCCTCTATCCATTCCTCAATAACCGAATGTTAACTGGCTACACACAAAAGATCTCCAGTCAGTTTGACATCTGAAGCATGCTGACCAATGACAGAAAGAGGAAGAGACCAGGATCCTAATTTTTACAAGACCCAGCCTGCCTGTCCTTGTCTGAGAAATGTCATGTATGGCCCCAGGTAAAACCTCTCCTTTTCAGCCTCCCTGCAGCTCAGAGGCGAATTCGAGGAAAGGAAACAAAAGTGGAGGATTGCTGGGGAGCCTGGGGAGACTTCTGCTTTTTCTGACCAAGAGCACAGTCGGGGCTCATACTGCCACCGTCCCCCCTTTTCTCTTCCCGTGGGCCTGTGCGCTGCTCTGACAGCTGGAGAGGTGTGGCCACTGTTAGACCAAAGGGAAATGCCAAGACACTTCTGAGAGGCTGAGACAGCACTAAGCCCCACCCTCCTGCAGGTCTCTTGTCCTGTCAGGGAAGCAAACCATGTGCTCAAGCCATTACAGCCAAATTCGCTGTTACCTACAGCCGAAAGCATTCCTAAAAGAAATTCCAACCTTACTTTATGGACAAGAAAACTAAAACCACTACTGTTTATCAGTAAAATATAAACAAATAAAAAGCACATCAGAAAAAAAATTAATGAATTCTTACACCAGATGGCAAAATAATCATCCTCCATTGGGAAGTAAAAAGGAAAAAATACGTAAGTAAACTCAGTATTTTTCCTCAGTATCTTGTTCATATTTCCCTAGGGTTCAGACCACACATGTGCACATATACATATAGCAAATAAATATACAGTCAGCCCTCTGTGTCTGTGGGTTCAGCTTTCATGACTCAGTCAACTGTAAATCAAAAATATCTGGGAAAAAAAAATTCCACAAAGCTCCAAAAAGCAAAACTTGAATTTGCCACACACTGAGTACTATGTTGACTCCAAATGAAGGACGTGATGTGCAGGCATTTTGTTAGGTATTGTAAGTAATCTAGAGGTGATTTAAAGCACACAGGAGGATGCGTAGCTTTATGTGCAAATTCTACACCATTTCATATCAGAGACTTGACCATCTGCAGATTTGAGTATCTGTAGGGGGGTTAAGGAGATGTCCTGGAACCAACCCCCCACAGGTATCGAGGGATGACTATAGCCATACATGCACACGACAACATATAAATTTTATGGAGTTAAATCACTTAATATATATTCTATTTTCAGAGCACAATCTTCAATAATCCCTCTTGTTAAGGGCCAAGAACAGTGTCATACCTGAAGAAATGGTTGTTTCCCCATAATATCCTGTCCCCATGGTGGAGTTGTATTGGACTGGAGACAGAAGACCCATTTACAAATGTTCTGTGGGGAGAAAAGTCAAACACGTAAATAATAATCATCACGTCTTCTGCCTTAACTTTCCCACACGATAGAGGTCTGATTACTAGGGAAAAAGAGATTAATATCTTCCATTTTTCAAAGTCCAAACTAAATGTTACACAGCTTACTTAACATGTATTAAGTGTTACAGATCAATAATCTCCTTTTGTCAAAGTTCTAAATTTATCATACAGCATCTTAAAGAGTAAATATGGAACCATCACAGTCAATAATAAAAGATGGTAACAGTATACACTGCAACTACAACAGGCATGTTCAATCTATATGGATAAAGAGTCCATCAAACAACGAGACTCTGGAAATACCTACAGAATCAGTAATGAGAAATGAGACCTATATTAAATTCTTCTGTAACTTACTATAGCATAGAAAAATATTCATATCCTATCCATATAGAAGACTTATCAGTTCCACTGGGCTGCTTATCTTGAAAATGGAACTCAGCAGCAGAAATAAATGGTGGGTAGAATGACACTGAGGGAGGAATTTGGAAGGGCAGGAAATAAACGGGAAATTATGCGCGCGCTATAGGACTGATATCGCCGGGATACCAGAGTCATCATGCCTCTGTCTTGCTGAATGACTCATTCTGTAAGATACAGGATGTAAAGTACAAATTCCTTAGCTTGACATAAAGGCCCTACACAAGGAAGCCCTTTTTATCTCCTGCTTTCCCTCTTTGGTGAACTCTCACCTCCTGCAAACAAAAGGTTTATTTTCTGTACACTAAACATGATCGACTCTTCCTCCAAAGCCAGGCTTTTATCAGTCCCCCAACCTAGAATAAGGTTCCCATTTCTCCTCATCTTCCCTCAGTCTTGCTCAGCAATCCACGTCCAGTTTGGTTTCTGCTTTCTCTGAAAAGGCTGCAACTCACTCCAGCTTCTAGCATCTTAGTTTCTTTGAACTCTATAAAGCTACAAAGCATTTCCTTGGCTTTACGCTGCTTCTGATTTTTTACATATATGCACACACATGAACCTTACTGCCTATCTAGATTACACTCACCATGTAGGTTTTCAAACACTAAACGTAACTGATCTTTGTGTTCCTATAGTCTGATCTCTCAAAGCACAAGTACAAAAAATAGTTATGACAGGAGGGGACCTACTAAAACGAGGATTTTAGCTTTTATGACACAAACACCTCAAACACAATAAGGACTTTAACAAAGGCAAAAACGTACATAGGCTTACTTTCTTTTTTGTGTGTGTGAGTGTCTGACTGGTATGAAAATCCTAACCCTTGACCTTGGTATTACAACACTGCAGGCTTACTTTTAAAAGCACAGCAGTTGAGCAAAAATTAGTAAACACAAAGCTGGAATATAATAACATTCTCAACGTGTAATCCATGTGGGGTCCCAAGATCAAAACCGCCTTTATGATAATGCTAAGCCTTGGGTTCTTGTCCTGTTCGGTGCACTGACATTCGTCAGACCATGAGTGAAATGGCTGATGCTGGACACGCACCAAGGTGGTGGCACCAGGCTTTCCTGGTAGTCACCAGATTATTTGCTGCCATACACTCGCAGTTTAAAAAACAATAAAATGTTTCATTTGAAGACGTCCTTAATGAAGCAGTAAAAATTACTTTCACTAAATCTTGATCCTGAGCATGCAACTCTGTTACTATTTCAGGTGATGAGATGAGAAGCATCCAGAGAGAGGGGCGACTGTCTGGACACACGTGGACTCCTTTTGCAGACCTGTGCATTTGGTGGGCCTTTTCTCGAAGATGAACAAAGTCGGCTCATCACTTCGAGAAAAAAAACTGGCAGTATTTGTTGCCAATGGTCAAATTCAACCTTTTAAGTAAAAATTTAAGTAAGAATCTTGGAAAACCTGTGTCAACAACCTCCAGCCAAAGACCACAAGGAACACACTCATTGTCAAGTACCAAGGGAGCAGTGTCACCAGGTGTCTCAGTGGGACGGTGTTAGAAAGGACCAATGGTAAGATGTGGGCTTTGGCTGGAGGACCTCAGAGAGGGTTTAAGGAAGTGGGATCCCCCATATGTACACATATTGGATGCTGTCTGAAAGTGGAACTAATCCTGTGACTGGTATTTCTAGCAGGGGAAACTAGGACAAGGACAATGCTGTAACTGGTGACAAAGTAGCAGTCACTCACTGAGGGAACCGGGTATTCTGTGGGTGGCACAGTGACCATGTTTGCATCTGTGCTTAAACAAAATGGTGACGTGGCCTGCTTTGTCCTATGGCATCTGGTAGCTGAATAACCCTGCCTGAGGCTGGCATTCGGTGACATTATCTATGGTCTGGCGGGAGAGCAGCATCCCTCGCTGTGAGGGCCAGGCCGGCCTCTGCTCCTTTTCCCTTCTCGCTTGTGTCCTTCTCCAGGAGCGTGACAGCCTCCCAGTACTGAAAGACTCGATGGATGACATCAGTGATGGCAATTATTCTTTGTATCATGTAATAAAACAGATCAACATTCGGAAGATCAACACAATTCAGCTAACCATCCTCTACAACAGGTGGAGACATCGTATGGGCCCAGTTCTATATTACAGGGTGGTAAGTTTTACAGCTGAAAGAAACAGGCCAACAAGTGTTTAATTGATAAAACGTTATGCCTCTTCACTCATTATTTATTGAGCACCTATGCAACAGACTTATGTTATGTGCTAGGGATGAGAACCAAAAAAAGAAGGCCTTGTCCTCAAGGAGCCCGCAGTCCACGGGGGTAATACAGGTGGGCAAGCCACAGGAGCATAAAGTGCACAGGGAATATATACTAAGGGCACTTAGTTTAGAGCAAACAGGAAACTCCCCGAAGTAGACAGTGACAGAGGTTAACCCTGAAGGTCAAACAGGGTCAGCAAGCCAAAGGAACGGCAGATGCAGAGGACCAGGAGACAAACAGGAGGGGGGCGCAGGGGACTTTCTACCTAAAACAGAAGAAAGCCTTCTAGCTGTGTGCCAAGCAGGCCAGAAAGAAGAGTGGGGCATTGGTGGGGCCTCCATAAGGCCATGGTAGTGGGTATGGAGAGGAAGGGATGGGGTGGGAGATATAAAGGGCTTGGAAACTAACTGGTTATCTTAATTAACTGAACTTAAAAATAGAAACAACAAAGGCCAAATGTCCCCAACCCCACCCGTCACTAGTGTACTTTATTCCTCTTAAAAGCTGTGACATTAGCACTAAGTTGGGTACATTACCTGGTATTCTTTTGAGGAGTCAGCATGACCTGGCCTTCTGATGTGATGTCTATAATACAGTGTTCAGGAAGAATTCCCATTCCACATAGTTGGATATCTTGGGAATTTGCTGACCCTATCAATGTATGTTCCTAAGAAAGAATTAAATTCACTGATTAATACTGTATTCTTACATGTACACAAGCTTCCATCCCCTACACTAAGCTGTCTTACGTGGATCTATTGCCTTAACTAAAAGATTGTTAAAGTGTGTAGAGAGGTAGGGGGAATCCCTGGCTTTCTCTGAAATTCATTCTACAATTATATTTCTTCATGAGTAATAATATATTGAGTTATGCCTTTTAAACTTAAGACTACATTCCTGTCTATTCTATAATTCATTATTTTCCACCACAACTTTGATTCCATATGTTTTACACAACTCTGAGTGCATGAGCCATGTGTCAACGATGCACCAAAATACTGGTCTGAAAACTATAACTACTTAAGTTATACATCACTTACCTGGTCTCAATCAAAACGAGGAAATGACAAAGATAAAACCTATTCAAAGAGAAGAGTTTGAAAAGCCTAAAATTATCTTATGAGTCTCATCATTTCCCCTAACCTCACGAAAGGTGTAATATTTGTACATAACAACTCAAATCTCTAAGCCCCACTTTTTGGCAGGTAACTCACCTATCCTTAGTGGAGAAAACTGACATAAAAACTGAGCTCCCTCTCATGCAGTCAACACTGGACTGACTGTACACGAGGAAGTGAGGATACGAGCTGGGATGTGTTCCTAGGCACCTTCTTTTTCTACACACCTAGATCAGGGGTCGGATATTAAATACTCCAGGCTTTTTTTTTTTTTTTTTGTCTTTTTCCGTGTCCGGCAACGGATCGCAACCCTCAGTGTTGCCCCCGTACCGGACCGGGACCGGCAACGGGATTGCAAGCCTCAGCGTTGCTCCCGCACCTCGCTCAGCCAGTGAACGGGAACCGGTCTGTATGTGGGATCCAAACCCTCGGCGGGAGCGCCGCCGCGCTTCCCAAGCAGCGCACTATCGCAGTGCACCATCGGGCCGGCCCTAAATACTCCAGGCTTTGTGAGCCATCTGCAACTACTCACTCCACCTTTGCAGTGCGGAAGCAGACGGACAACACACAAAAGGAAAAGTGGGGCTCCATTCCAACGTAACTCTATTTATGACCTCTGAAATTTGAGTTGCATATAACTCCCATATGCTGAAATAGTATTCTTCAACCATTTAAAAATATAAAGGCAATTCTGAGCTCCCAACCAAGCACTGGCTTGGAGGGGGTACATTTGGCCCAAGGGAAGTGGTTTGCCAACCCGAGTTAGAAGAACTTACCAACTCCCATGGCTTTATATACTGTTGACATGTAAATGAAATCTCACCAACCAGGAGCCACAGACTTGAATTCCATTTCCCTGCCTCCACTACCACTGCCCTCATCTCAGCTGCCACTATTTTTGGACTACTTTGCCTGCATGACACACTTGGATGTCTAAAGAAGACATTTCAAAGTGAGAATTCATGTCCGAAGCAGAACTCGTGCTCCCTCCTACCCTGACTCAATAGAAGTCTACTCCATTTCCCAATAATAATGGCACTACCACCTACTTTGCCTGCATGACACACTTGGATGTCTAAAGAAGACATTTCAAAGTGAGAATTCATGGCCGAAGCAGATCTCGGGCTCCCTCCTACCCTGACTCAATAGAAGTCTACTCCATTTCCCAATAATAATGGCACTACCATCACCCAGCTGGTGACCTAAAAAGCTCAGCTACTGCCTCGAGTTCTCTCCCTTACCAGCCCACCTCTGCCCCCACATCAACTGGAAAACTTCACAGATTCTACCTCCAGAACATAACACGAATCAGTTCATTTTTCCCACATCCACCAACACACTCTAGTGTCAACCCCCAGGATCTCTTGCCAAGTGAATGCAGGGGCTTCCTACTCTGTCTCCACTTCTGTACCACCCCTGCCACTCCCACTGCAACTACTAATCCTGTGGTCCCCCTATGTGACACCTTCTGGTGGCTTCCCTTTGAACTTCTAATAAAGTCCAAATTCTTACCCAGGCTTACAAAACACTCCATGACCTGGCCCCGCCCACCTCTCTGATCCTGGCTCCTACCACTCTCCCCTCAAGGAGCACAGCAAAGCCATCGGCTCTTGACCTGTTCTTCGAGCCCAGGGAGCTTACTTCCATCCCACTGCCTTTCACTGGCTGCTTGCTCAGTCTGAAATGTTCTTGCCTTGATCCTTACACGGGTAGTTTCTTATCATTTCCACCTCAGCCCTTAATGTCACATCCTCAGGTGCCATCTGGACTCACAATTGGAAACAGCCACCCAATCGTGGTCACTGCCCTGTTGTAATTCCTTACATAACACTGCCTGTAGTGTGCATCCATCTCTACGACGAGCACAGAAACTCTGCAAAAGCAGAAAACAACCTGCCTTGCTTCCTCTGTGTTCCACACACCTGCATTTAGGCATTAAGTAAATATTTAAAAAATAAATAAATGATCATTTCCCTCAGCATTCCCTCCTCTTCTTTGCAGGTCATCCTTCTAATTATATCTGGGTTCCAACGGTTTCCACCTCTTCTGGGGATTTCAAGCTCATACAAAAGGCCTTTTCCTCTGTAGTACTGTTTCCATTCCCCTTTTCTGGGGCTTCCTCTCTTGATTACACTGCAATGGTGTTCACAAGGAAACAAAGAGCTGGGGTCCAGAACTGTCCCATGGTGTCCTGCCAGACCCTCGAGGTGTGTATATAATACATTCCAGGACGTTCCACATAGGTATTTGCTCCTCACTGTTAGATGAGCTTCGTGACCTATCCCACAGTTTCCTGTCCTGGAGAACAGGGCTTGACTAAGTAGCTAATGCTTTAGTAAAGTTCAGGAGCAGCCTGAGAATCTCCTCCATGCCTGCCTCAGCCTCCACCCCCTCGGTTCTTTCTCCTCTGTCTTACATCACCAACACCAAGGGAGGTCCAAGGTCACCTAGAGAAGAAGAAAAACAATCCCCCAAGCACTTGCCTCGGGCTGGCTCTGTGTAGAATCCCTCTCCTTCTGCCATGAAGAATTCTAGCCCTGAGTCCTATTTGTGCCTCGGGAATCCTTTTTGTCCTGGGGGGCAGAGGTTAAGACAGACTGTGCTAGACCCTAGACTGGAGGAGCGTGTGCAGCCAGTTGGCTCCCACCACATTCTGGGCAGCACACAGGCTCATGCCCACATCCCAGCCCTCATCTCAGCTTCTTTGCCTGAAATGCTCTCTCTTCCCTTCATCAACACGCAGAGTAGCTTTCCACACCTACTTCTAACCTCATCTTCCACGTGAAGGTTTCTCTATTACTAAACACTGGCTTCTTCCTTCTCTGAACCCTGATTACACCTTAGATTCTATAATACTGTGATTTACTATCTATTGCATAAATGCTATTTTCTCCCCTTACTTAGATAGTAACCTACACAGGATGTTTGCATCTTTTATAACAACCAGCACAGCTCACAATACATGGTGGATGCTAAAGACCTGTTGATTGAATTACAGATTATCGGAGACAGAAGATATTAGCTCACACACGCAAAGGTCTAATCCATGGTCCAGAAGGAAAATTTCATTTTTTCTAACAAATATCATATTGAGCACCTATCATGATCTGGGAACTGGGCTGCTGGAGATACAAGAGACAGACAAGGTCCCAATTACAGAGTTTACATTATAATGACAAATTAAATCTCTTGTTGAGGTTATAATCTATTGCGATTTGGACGACAAAACACTGGAATCTGAAATACGGTGAATTCTGCCAAAGCCTTACTGTGTGATGTTTAGCTAGTTAACCAGCTTTTGATGAGCTCTTCTGATTGTGCACTAAAGACTGCAAGAAAACAGGCCAATGAGGAGAAGAAACTGATCACAGGCTGGTACAGCAGGTTATCTCATGAGTACCTGTGTGCGGCGGAGGTACCAGGCAATGAAAACAAGCTAGCGTGAATTGGAGATAGTATCTCAATCTCTTTATATGACAGATGGGTATAATGACACTGGAGTATGCTAGCACAAAGTCTACCAGAATAAATAAATGGAGGATTGTATCCTGGAAGAGTCAGAGAACCACACAAGTTGGAATTGCAAAGAACTTTAGAGCTGTTTTAATCCATTGCTGTCATTTACAGATGGGGTGGCTGAAGTCATCTAGAGATGTGATGTCATCTGCCCACATCTAAATTGACTTGAGAATTTGAAGGCAAAGAAATAAAAAATGCTAAGCTTCCAAATTCCTCCGTCCCACATCATGGTGCAGCTTTACTGAGGCAGAAACTATTTTGGGGCGGAGATCACCCTTCTAAATGTGCTGTGTCATGAATACACTGTTGTCATGGGGTTAGCCTGGACCGCCAAGAAGTCAGTACTGCCTCCAACTCTGCCGGAACAGGGCCGACCGCACAGTCTGAAACAGAATCTGGACACCTCCACACAGATGACTGGGATATTCTGACTACTACCCAAAAACCTCTGAACAGTATCTTTGTTTAACTTTTTACTTAAGGAACAGATATGAATCAGGGTTTCTCCTTGGTGTGTTTGCGTTTTTGTTTGCCCGTTCAAAGAACACCACATAAGACAGGAAAAGAATTCCTAGTCCCAGGAAATAAAAAGGGCAGAATGTTTAAGTCCTATTCTGATATTACATCTCTCCTAAAGCTCATGAATATCGACAGCTGTAACTCAAAATGCTGCCGACATTGTTCTGAAGCACTAAGTGACGGGACAGTACATCATCTCTTAACAGGAAGGACAGTACGTGTATGAGGAGCCACATGGAATGTCAGATGACAAAGTGGCATGTGGAACACTGTATGTTTGCATAGTGCTTCTGCTGATAACATGCTTCTAGATGTCCAGTCCTCAGAGGAACCCAGCAGGGGAGCGAGAAAACTTACATCCATTTATGAAGGAAGAAACTGCAGCCTGGAGGAATCAAAGGACTCGACCGAGGACGGGAAGCACAGGCCACCTCCCCCCCACTCTGGCGTTGCTCCCACTACACCACACTACCTGGTCACGCACGTATTAGATTACATTGTCAAAGACGTGACTTAACTCACAGCTGGAGAAGACACAGTGTACAATACTCCTTAACCAAGGGGCCTCGTCAAAATGACACAAAGCAATTATTCTGGGATATCTTTGATTAAAAACTGGGAAACTATCCAACGTGTCACAAATTTTTGAGTCTTTTTAGAAATGAAACCACACAATTCTCTAATCTTAAAGGTGTTTCCAACTTCAAAGAAAAATAAATAAAAAGAATAAAACAACAACAAAAAGTCAGCTCATTAGCTTTACTCTCCTGGTCACGTAAGCTGAGCCCGCATGCATGAGGGAAAGAAACTGCGTCCTAATATTTATTAAGCCTGTGTTCGTGTCGTACAGTCCATCGTGTAATTAATTTATGCCCTGGGTTTGACAAAGGCAACTTTGGAATGCTCCCCATGATTTTGTAGTGTCTCAGGTTCATGCTCTTTGTCCTCCAAATTTGTCTCCTGATTTATAGATTTTGATGTAAACCAATATTTGGTTTTTTTCTGTTCTATACTCTGACTCTCTCAGTCTCTAAGTGACCTATTCTCACTTTTTTCATAAATCCAAAATCCAAATGTTGTTATTGTCCTACGAGTTACTGGAAACATACATTCCATGTCAACTTGTCCTAAGAATTTTACTTTCTTTAAACATTTTCTCTTGTGAGCTACCAAACCACTCACAAAAAGATGGGATTCACACAAACCACAGAAGCTTTAGTCTACTGACCAAATGAATCACTTAGTTTTAAAAGTCATCCTTTAAGATTTAAAGTTATCTACTTAATTCCCTGGTATAAATCACATTAAATAATGCTAGGTAAGCTATTTAACTTATTGGAAATAATATCAGAATACCATTTTTTATATTACTAGGTAGAATGACATCATTCAAAAACTAAAAAGGGAAACTGATCCCAGAAACCCAAGATTATTTTCTACACTCTAGTTTATTCAAATAAAAACAATTTCTAACTCTGTTTTTTGAATAAGCATGGTTCCCCAAGTTTAAAAAAAGTACTATGAAATATTCTATTTCATGGCAGGAAACTAGGAACAAGGCATATTACTTCACCTTTAAATAGTACACCAGTAGTTCATTCAGCGCAGGATCAGCATTCAGATTAACAAGGAAACATTTATCATCCCCAACTTTGATTCCCGAAGACTGAAGAGATATTCCAAGACTCTCGAGCTGTTTCTGTCGCTCCTGTAAATGTATTAGAGAGGTATTAATTTCACAGCTACTGAGTCAGCAAGATGTAAAAGATCTTACAATGTTACAATAGTTCTTTAATATCTTTATAATTCAAGTATGTTAACTTAGGATATGGTATTGTAGATTATTGCATTTTTCTCCTTTCCAAACTATATAAATTTGTTTTACTTTGTTAATTGAAAATTCTTTAATATCTTTATGATTCAAGTATGTTAACTTAGGATATGGTATTATAGATTATTGCATTTTTCTCCTTTCCAAACTATATAAATTTGTTTTACTTTGTTAATTGAAATTTACTTTATTTTGTAAAATAAAGCCCCTGACAAACAGTAACCGAGCATACTAACAAACTCTCAAAAACATCTAACATCCTGAATTCATCTCATTTAACTCCACACATATGAGCAAATGTGAGTGCATTTAGCTGAACTGTGATCTTTCTAAAAAGCAAAGTTTCTCGTACACTCTCCTGTGTATGAGAAAGGCTCAGTGAGGTTTGCGAGGCCTTCCACCAGGCCCTTTCCTCTCCACATGCACGTCCTGGAGCTCCTGCTTTCAAACTCTGCACCAAACTTACATGGAACGTGTTCCAGATCCCTGAAAGTGCTAAGAATGCTCTTTCACTTAAGGGATCTCATACTTCTTCCTTCTCCCTGGAGCAGATGTGTTCTCACGCTTGGTGAGTGTTTACTGACCATCTCTGCCACTCCCTGGGGCTGTGAGCTACGAGCTGTATGGGCGTGGGTCTGCGAGCTGTATGGGCGTGGGTCTGCGCTTATTCACTGTGTGTTCCTAGTACCCAGCATAGTGCAGGACACACAGTGAGCACTCAAACGTCAGCATTATTAACTTATCCAAGAAAAAGACTTGCACATACACTCAAGTGATATTTTCATAACAACACAAGCCTATTTTTTCTTGTGCCTGCCTGCCTCGGAACCTCTACAATATACAAAATATGTATACAGGAGGAAACAGGAATCTCACAGCCTGATGCTCTATGACAGCAGGGTGGGGTGTCTGTGACTGTGGGTAAACAGCAAGTAGTGATGAGTCACAGTCACCTAGGACCTTTGATGCAGAAGAAAGACAAACTAGGTCATTTACCAAGGGCCATTATTATTACTATTAACTTTGTAGTATACTTAAAATAAAGCTTCAAAGTTTTCTATCTCTATGCATACCATCCTAATTTATATCATCACTGCAACCCCATCAATACACCCTGTAATACACTATTACAAAATTGGAACGGGGATATTTTGGTCCTAGGTCTTAGAATCAAGTGTGTCACTAACAGAAAGAGCTATAGGGTTCTTTCAGGAGTTTTAAGTGTTAGACACTAGACATTAGAGTCTTCAGTACTCAATTCCAAGAAGTGATTATCTTTGATAAAGAATCACATCCATAAAATGAAGGAAGTAATTCTAATATACCTTTCTCTAAGTTATCAGTGGGCTGGCCGGTTAGCACAGCCTTATAACACCAAGGTCATGGGCTCAGACCCCCGTACCTGCCAGCCACCAAAAAAAAAAAAAAGAAAGAAAAGTTGTCGCTGTTGGTAAACTACTGTTTTACATTGCTTCCCTATGCATTTTTCTGTCACTTGAGGTTTTATAATGGTAAAAACACCTCAAAATTTTTGTCTAAGCCAAAAAAGGCATAATGGTAGGGATCTCTCAACTCATTATTACATTTGCTACCAAAAACTTCAAACTTTTTACTCATCTGAAAAATTACAAATGTCTGCAACATCTAGAAATCAGCTCATAAACTAAAAATGTATAATACAACATAATTGTTTATTGATATCACCAAATATTATTGCTTCTGATATCATGGGTTGGTTAACTTTTTCTACGAAATGTCAGAGAGTAAATGTTTAGGTCTCTGTGGGCCGTTTGGTCTCCATCTCATATTCAGCTCTGCTGCTGAAACCATAGGTACCGCAGAAGCAGATGAGCTTGGCCAACGCTCCAACAGGACGTTATTCACAAAAACGAGTGGCAGGTGGGTTTGCCCACAGCATGGTCTGTCAACTCCGATCTACCTCAGGTTTTGAACTCACTTAAGAGTGCAGTTCCTAATGAGAACATAAAAGATGAAAATCAGACACAGTTTGGAATCGTAGATGTGACACTGGAATTAGAAAATAGTCACCTTGAGGTCTGCTTACTCAAAAATATTATTGAGCATACACCTAAGAAAAACTAAAAGATAAGGACTTTTTCTTGAGAACCTTACGAACTCATTAGGGAATAAAACTGCGCATGAACAGTCGAACAACGGCCAGGCGCAGCATGATGTAGGGGTCACAGGGTGAGCACAGTTGCGGAGAAGGCCAGCAGGGGTGCTCAGAGGGCTGGCCCACCACGGGAAGGTGCCACAGAGCATGGGGGACGGAGGGAGAGCCGCCAACTCGCAGGAGCCCCAGAAATGATGTGAGAAGTCCTTCAGAAAATAAATCCATTGAACTCAGTTTACCCAGAATTTCCCAAATGTATCTGACTGACCATGGGCCATATATCCCCCCAGAAGACTTGGTAACATTTTGTGGCTATATTGTCAGAAACACCCTTTGGAAAATGCCAGTCTGGATTAGGAAAAGGTAAATGATCAACAGACCACATTTTTTCAATGAGAGAGGGGAAAAGCTCCACAGCACTAAAGCCTGGGGGCCCAGCAAGATAAGGCCTTGAAGGAGGAGTGGGACAAAATCAGGCTGAGCCCTCCAAAGGGACACCCAAGAGAGGAAGAGTGATGACGCCAAGAACAGGCTTCCCCAGCACTACTGCTCACGGGGACCCACCCTGCTGCGTGTTCGTGACAGCAAGTCCACATCAGTGTCCTGCCTTTGGAGAAGCTCAGAAAGGCTCACACAGAATAGTTCCAAATTGGACAGTTATTATTAGAGTGACTTACAATTTATGAAAAACATAAAGTGAGACATGTAATGAGCGATAGCTATACACTGATGGGTTCTCTTCTCTGTAATTTGAGGGATACGTTGAACCCAAAGCAGGCATACAGATAAAACAGCTTGGCCATATGATGATCTCTCACAAAACCAGGGGATCGGTACTCGTGGATTTATCACACTCTTCTCTAATTTATCTATTTTGAAAATGTCTATAATAAAAATGTTTTAAAAATAGAATTAAATCCTACTCTGCACTAATATAAACATAAGATGCACTTTATGCATCAATAATACTGTGCTACAACATCTGACGTATGGACTGATTCTGGGCAGCACATTTAAAGACGGAATCTACTCTGTGGCAAAAGATGTAGCAAGTTCCATATATTGTCTAATACAAGGAGCGGCTTAAAACATTAGAGATTTTTAACCTAGAAAAGGAAGGGGAAGAGGCAGAGAAGCGACTTTAGCTGAACGACTGAGGTGGGTCATAACAGTCCCTATCTGGTTGGCCTGTGGAGAGGATTTCATAAAAAACTGTAGTTCAAAGTGCCTAGCATAGGGCCCAATACATAGAGAGTCGACCAGACGGTGTCTATTACTGTCATCATTAGTTACTGCACACCGTGGGACACTTACTCTCGGCTGCAGAACAGACAAAGCCCAACGAGTAGAAACCAAAGAATAAGACATTTCAATTAAATAGCTGCTATTAGAGTTGCCCAGCCCCCAAAAGACTGCCAGAGCGGTCCCAAGCTCCACGTTACCATATATATTTCTAAAACAGAGGCTGAATAACTATGTAACAGGAAAGCCACAGGATAGGCCTTTGAAGTAGACAGACTTTTCAGCATTTTCTCCCAATGTTAAACTTGACTAGATCTTCCAAGACTAATGCTAATATTTCCATCCTAAGACTTCACAACTCCATCTGTACTAAGTTTGTAACAGTGAGAGACAGTCATCTCAGTTAGGTATCTCATGTTACTTTTACTGTGCTGGCGTATGGAAGCATGAAGCTCACAGCCTAATATCTACTACTAGTAATTTTGTAATTTCAGTAAGTTACTTAGGTCTGCAATTTTGTAATTTCAAAATTTTGCAATTTTGTAATTTTGGTAAATTCCTTAGGTCTAAAAAAATAGAACAACGTGTTCAGAGCCAGAGGCTACAAAGTATTTATTTCACTAAATTTTTTTTTTTTTTTTTTGTCATTTTTTGAGACTGGCCGCACCGCGCTCAGCCAGTGAATGCACAGTGCACAGCCATCCCTATATAGGATCCGAACCCACAGTGGGAGCGCTGCTGTGCTCCCAGTGCCGCACTCTCCCGAGTGTGCCACGGGCTCGGCCCACTAAAAAATTTTTTTAAGGGCCGGCCCCATGGCTCACTTGGGAGAGTGCAGTGCTGGTAGCGCCGAGGCAGCGGGATCAGATCTTATATAGGGATGGCCGGTGCGCTCACTGGCTGAGCATGGTGTGGATGACACCAATCCAAGGGTTGCAATCCCTTTACCGGTCAGGAAAAAAAAAAAGTTTTTTTAAGATTGCTGACATTAAAAAATTAATTATTTCTTACATAATAAATGATCAGTTGCTACTACACCCTGTTTATCTTTCAAATTAATTTTGCAAAGTAAAGTATAGACTCTCTTGGATCTACAGTCCTATTAATGGTGCTAGATTTGCCATCAGCAAAGCTAAAAATCAAAAAGGAACCAGGCGCTCCCTCTGAGTCCCACCATACAAATTGCTACAAGGTTTCTTTCTCTGTCAATCAGGAAACACAAACCTGTGCGATCTCTTCAGTTTTCCTTAATTTCTCCTCCCAGGTCACAGTCATTTCCTGGATTAACTTCTCAGATTCTTCCAGCCGGTCTTTCAGTTCTGGAGATTTCATTGCCTACAAGCAAAATATTTACTTCATGAAATGTCTGGATGATGGCCTGGAAAAAGAATTAACCAACTCTAAAAGGATAACAGTGACTGTCTGCCTCCTCTCTGCTCTGCAGCATGCTGAGGTCTCTGTCTACCTCGAACAGAACGACGGAACATCACTGATACCAGCATCTAAACTGCTGTGAGGACCACAAACTCATCAAATTATCCAAGGTAGGCAAAAAAGGAAGACAACATTTTTCTTTTCCTCCAACCTGTTATGAAGACCCCTAAAAAGGTAAACGTCTACCTCGAACAGAACGACGGAACATCACTGATCCCAGCATCTAAACTGCTGTGAGGACCACAAACTCATCAAATTATCCAAGGTAGGCGAAAAAGGAAGACAACATTTTTCTTTTCCTCCAACCTGTTATGAAGACCCCTAAAAAGGTAAAGCTATTAAGGGCTTACTTTTTAAATTCCTATAGGTCATACATCTATATCACACACATGATTCACTGCCATCCATATTGATGACTTCAAGAATTTATTCAAGTATGTACAGACTAAACACAGGCGTCTTACAAACTAAATGGTGTTTTTAATATTGGGGAGACAGAGACAAAATTCCAAAGAATCTTGATGGACCATAAAATTATTCCTGTAAAAACAGGATAAAATTCAGCAGGCAATAAATATGATAAACTCAATGAACACAACCAAGGTAACTGTCTTGCCCGTGTATTTTACTGACTTACTACCAGAAAACAGCAGATACGCAAGAGGAGGGCTGCGGTGCCCACCCCAGGAAAGAGCCCCACAGTGGTGGGTGACTGCCAAGAGAAATGCCAACTAAAGCAGGAGTCCTGAATCTGCTTCGTCCCACGTTTACAGGAGGATGAGCACTTGTTTGGAGGTCGGAACTGAGTAGGTTTTCAAATCCAGTAATGGAACACAAACACCATCCATTATAGAATACATGGAAGAATCTCCATTCCTCTGTAACACAAATAGAGCACCACTGCATACAAGGGTCCTTCTGCGACAGTGTCACTTTTTTCTACAAACAGAATTAACCCACAACATGGAAAAGTTGGATTATGAAGGTGAGGAAGACCTCAAGATTCTCATTCTGACTTCCACTGACTAACAAATGAAAATAAAAATCTGTCTGGGCCCCCGCAGTTGGGCCTCGCCCCTCCATCCTGTCTGCACCAGTCTCCAGTGTCTCTCTCACTCCCTTACTCCAGGACTTCTCTCGTCTGCTGCTGGGTGGAGATGGAAAGACACACTCCCTCGATTCCTTCATTCTCCCTCCCATTCAATCCTTCAACACCTGCAAAAACTCTCTAAATTTCACACATGACAACCTTCCTTTCGTTATCGCTCATCTCAAATCTCTCTTCCTACAGGACATTCAAGAACTCTAGGAGAGGACTCATCCCTCCAGGCCAAGAGGAAGGAAATTCCGGTGCCGGCGACACTGTGTCCCCGCCCAGCAGAGTGCCCAGTACCTCCGCTCTGGTTAGCTGCTCTCGGAGCTTCTCGACTTCTTCCCGCAGGTCCCGGATGATCCGGGCGTTGGGGTCCTCGTTGACCACGGCGTGGTTGACAATGTGCTTGGCTCGGTCCGCATACCTCAGCGTCGACAGGGTCTCGTCATAGTTATCGGCGGCCGGGCTCACAGTGGCCACCATCGCTGTCTTGCTGTTACCCCCCAGACTGTCCTGCAGGAGTAGAACCAAGAGAGTAGCCCTTTAAAGTTTCGAGTTGCAGAGGACGTCCTATGAGAAGGCTGAAGTCAGAAACAGTGACACGACGTTCCCAGGTCAGACGCTTGCTTAACACCACACTAGGCTAACATGCAGGGACACTGACTCGCATCCTGCGCTGTCTCTCCTGCCACACTGTTGTTCTTAGAAATAAAAGGGGGAGCTCCAGTTTTTGAGAAAGGACAGGGAAGTACAATGAAGCCCACATTTATTTCAGTGTAATAAAAATTAATTCCAAGTCAATTTGTCCTTTTAACAGGCAACATCAAACCACAAGGAAGCAGACAACTCAGATTTTTTTAAAAAAAGGATTTTTTGCATGCCTTACAAAACTCTACTCAGAGGAACCAAGCAAGTGTGACATTACTTGACATCTGATGGGCACCGCTGTGTACTTGCAGTCTGTGAAGCCTAAGTAATGGCTCAGAAAGTCACTGTTACGAGCTGGTTAGTGCCTTGAAAAGTTTTCAAAACATAAGATACAATTATCGTCTTAGAAAACAGAAGACCTGTTGAGAGAACTGCAGCCGCTCCCGGTGACAGCACTTCAAAGCTACAAAAACAGCTCAGTCTACACACGGCTTCCACAGCTCGCACAGGGACTGAGAGAAGATGCTCGAGAACTATCCCTACACTAATGCTGTCCCACGCTGAGAAGAATTATCCAGAAGAACAGATTCAAAACCCACTTTCAGTAACAGAGTATCATTGAGTGACAGAGGCTCAGGATTACAGAGGATACTCCAACAGGCCAGTAATGCAGAATTCACTAGATCACAAGAAACCTAATTCTATTTTTGGCAGCATTAACCTCTAGAAAACTCTTACTTTTGAAGATAAAAAGTTTTTCCACTCTCAAAATATGCAAACTTTACTGGAGCAATCTGTGACTTACACCATCTTTGTGCCTGCGCTTTACTTAGGTCTCAGCCTTCTGTGAAGTCGATTACCTTTTACTGACAAGAAAACAGAGGTTTGTTGTGACAAAGGAGGTTAAATACACTGCTTCAAAATCCAGAACGAGCAAGCTGAACGATATTCTAACCCAGTTGTATTCTGCTGCAAGTCCAATATGATTTCCACCCCTACACAAAGTTCAGGATTGAGAATTAAGTCAGATGACCTGCTACCTTTCCAAAATACTCTGTCCTAGTGTCAGAAACAAATTCATTCCCAAGGTATGGCTACAAGTTCAATATAATCACAGATAATATGTCCACTTATTCACCCACTATGGAAAATTTGGTTTTCCAGGGGAAACATACATAAGATAATTACATTGTTGAAGTAAAGACACTGTAATGCATGTAAAGGCAGGAATTATGACTAGTCCAGGCTTTAGGAAGTAAAAGCCATGAAGGCTTGCTTCCCTTCACACTTCTGGACACTGATCTCACACTGCTGGTCTAACAAAATGTCATGAAGAGTCCCATGCACGTTAATGAAATCAAATCCTACATGGAAAGATCACAGAAATTAACTCTCCCACTGCAACCCAGCTCACCGGCAGCACCCTGCGGAGGACTGCCCTTCAGGAACTACTGCACGTTGTCAGCCTGCGGGGTGGCCAGCGCTGGAGGGACCGGGAGTCTGCGACAGGAACCACCAGGGAGAAAAGCACTCACAGTGTGTTTCAATCTATACTGAAAAAGGAAACCTGGCAAACAACAAATGCTTGATATCTTAAAAGCCCTTGTTCATGGAGCAACAATAGGCTTATATTAAAAAGCGGCCTCACGCCATTAGCAAAAAGGAAAGAGCAACAAAAGAACTGGCTGTCGTTCGAGGAGAAAGTAAGAAGTTTCTTGTTTACTCTGTAATTGTTTAATTAGGCAAATCGGGCGAGCTTTGTTGCAAATGGAGCAATGGCAAATTAAATGGACATAAGAAAGACGTTTAATTTTGCAAGTCAGAATTTTTTTAAAGCTAAAAGAATTCTTTGAAGTCACCTAATCAAATTATTTCATTTTACAGATCAGCAATTGAGCCCCAGGGAGACTGGCAGACTTATCAGAGGTCATCATGCTAATCCAGAGCTCGCCTGAAATTACTCATCACCCAGCTCTTCGTGGGATTTACCCTCTAGTAAGGGATGCCGGTGAGCACATGCTACATGCTAAGAACTAAAACAGGAAAAATATGATCGGGTCTGGGAAAAACAAACAAAGAGCATAAAGCCAATTCTCAAAACGTTAGGGAAGCCTCCCAGAGAAAGTGACATGTGAGACCTAAGGATACATAAGCATTAACCAGGTGAAAAGAAGTGGGAGTGGGGGAGGGGGGAGGAGAGACTGAAGATGAAGTCCTCGAAGTAAGACAGCACCCATCATTCAACTGGAAGTCATAATACCAAGAAGCACAAGATGAACTCATGTAAGTAAGGAGGGTCAGGTTACGAAGGGCCCTGTAAGACACATGTCACTAAAGAATTCGGACTTTATCCTAAGGGCCTATGGACAGTTATTGAAGAGATTTAAGGTCAAGAGTATTAATTTAGAAAGATGTTGCAACTTACCCGTGGAGAATGGATTAGACCAAAAAAGCTCAGGGGAAATGTTTGTCATCGAGGTGAGAGATGGAAGTGGCCTTCCTCGGGGAAGTGGCCATAAGAATGAGAAATGGGGATGAATTCGAAAGATATTCATCATCTGGGCATTCAGCACCCAAAGCCACTTGATGGTAAGAGGCCCACATTTAGAAGGTTCCACAGAGAAGCAAAATCCATCTTAGTATGACCTAGTTCTCCACCAATCACTTACTGCCCGGGTGACCCTCAAGAGTTGGTAGCACTACCCTCTCCAAGAGAAGACCACATCCATCCCCAACCCAGGCACCAAGAGGAGCCAAGATTCCTCTCTCAAATGTTGCATACGTCAGAAGCACAACACAACTTTAATGCAAATACAATGCAAAAAACACACAAAACTCTATAAAATGAAATTGCAAATCTTATAAAAGATGAGTGATTTTATGAGTTCAATGGAAGTTGTGTTGGAGAATACGAGAATCCTACCCATGCTGAACAAGGATCCAGGAGAGTTAGAGGAATAATTAAAGAAGGAAAAAGCAACAGGGATGTAAAAACCACTTTCTAGGGGAATGATCTGCTCATAAAGGGATTCAGAGAGGCCTTTGGGAAAACTGTTTAAGCTCTGGAATATGTTTCGCAAACAATGACCTATTATGATCTTGCCGCAGAAGTCAAACATGCTATAAAAAGGTCATATAGTTTTTAAGAAAAAAATGGTGAAAAAAATCCAGCAAACACTTGATTCATTTTTAACCTAAGGATTAGCATATGGAAGTGGCAATTATAACCTTATTATACAGAAGATAAAATGAGCTTTTTAAAGTACATTTTGGTTTCATTCTTCCGGTATTAGAAATAGTTTTTTTTCATTATTTTCTACCAAACATTGGCAAACAGTCAAGTGCATCTCTTTCTAATAAAAAATAACATTTGATAAGAGCAGGACACAGCTCAGCCAAAGAAAGGTGGGCAGCAGAGTCAGCTGGATTCCAATCCTGACTGTGCCATCCCTTCATCCGCGCCTGTGCCTCATCTGACAACTGGGAACACCACCATTCACCTTCTGAGAAATTAACAAGGTGACCCACCTGTAGCACTTGGCATGGCACCAGAGTCTGCCAGAACAGGTTCTCCTGGCCTCCAGCCTATGGATGGCCACTCAGTAATTACCTGGGCCATTCTAACTATGTCAATTCAATTAAGAAAGGATATTTCCTATCATTGTCTTAAATGGACTGAAGCAGCAACTTTGTAACAAGGACAACGAATTCTCTCCTAAATCAGGCACATCGAAGGAATAATCATGTGTGACCAGGAAATATTTCCGTGGAAAGTTTGAGAAAGAAGTAAGTATATTATCAAGATTTCTTCCGGAAAAAAACTAATGAGAAATAAGGTGAAACACTGACATGCTCCTTGGTGGTAAAATGTTTTGTAATACCCCTTTAGAAGTGGTTTCTAATGATCAAAATTTGTATATCCTTTTGTTTTGAATTTCTAATTTTACTGCATTTGAGCCAAAGGAAGTAACCTACCTGGTTTTCTACAGTGGCAAATTTATCCAATTTCAGCATTATATTTAGGCAGAACTTACTGACATTCATACAAAGAATGTTTTCACTTGACAAAGCACGTTCCAATGGTGCGCAGTTTTCGATTAAAAAGTTGAGTACTAGGAACTCTGAGAGAGGGAAGAAAACCCTACTCCCCTTCACAAAGACTGTTCTCTAAATACACTGTGACCGGTCAACAGCCATGTCCTCTCCTGAGACACCGTTTAACAGTGTGTAACTCATCTTCATACTCTCAACACTTAGCATGGTGAGTAGCAGGTGTTTGTTCATTCTTGATCAGTGAGAAAATACGCCATCCTAAAACTAAACAGGGCACAAAATTATTTCTCCATTTTAAAAAATAGAAAAAAGAGTATTGGACAGGTGAAATATTCTTTTCAAGGTTGACACCTGCCTAAGGAGTTACACTGTCACTGGAACTTACATTCTCGGATTCGCAGTGCAATGTCCAACTCACCATGCCACCTCCATGAAGACTAATGGGACCTGAAAAGTTCGAGGAAACCTGGAAACAGCCTTTTCTCACCAAACTCCTATGACACGCAATCACTATCTCTGTCGTAAGATCTGTCATGAACTCCTGTCTACGATTCTGCATGCTCGTCCTATCTCCCTTCCTAGACATGAGCTGCAGAGGGCGAGGGGGGCTTGCATGTCCCTCTGAGCTCCTCAGAGCCCTTCAGAGAGGGTTTTCCTTCCTTACTCCCATCAGTCTCATCCATGGAGAATCAGTTCATCAACACTGATGAACTCTGTGTCCTCAACTCTGCCCTGTGTCCTTTAACAACTCCTTTAAGGAGCTGAAAGCAAGTTAAAATTATCATAAGGAAAGTTAAACAGAAATTAAGGTCCAAAATGTCTTGAAGTTAAATAGAAAACAAAGTCCAAAACGTAAGTCCGACAAAAGGAGTCTGTGAAAAAGAAGGAGCAGTCCGGCCGAGGGTGGCAGACGGTGGAAACTCCTTTTCTGTGACTCACTCAGCCGTCACACAGCACCAGGTCCTTTTTCTATTCACCCGAATCTCCAGAAGCGATGGTGTGATTCAGTGAGTGCCCAACAACCCCACGGCACCCGGGCTCTGGGGTACTGGGATGTTAATTACGAGGAAAAAACCCATGCTCCGTCCATTAAAATTGTGATTATCCTAGGAGCCTAACGATCACACATTTGAACACCGATGGAGACGATACTGGAAAGGATTAACAGTCTACGTGCTATTCTGCCTTTTTACCAACCACCAAAAGTATGCCAGTAAGGGAAAAAAAAACTTACTTTGAGCAGCCAAGTGAGAACTGAGTCACGATATGGAACAAATTTATTCTTGTTTTTGCCAGCACCCTGATCTGCTAGGGCTGAGATAACCAGACCAAGGGTTGTGAGGGACCTGCATAGTGCAACAAACCATAATAATTACAAAAAGTGGAATATATCATATGTCACATTTTAGCACAAAGATTGAACACCAAGATGCCTTTGCACCTGCATGCGAGCAGCCCCTGCTGTCAGCGTTTTGCTGCTCAGCTTAAAAACACACACACTCCAAATATCTGGTGTCCCTGTAACACTACCTTAAGCAATAAGATGCTTAGCCCAGTTTATGTTTCCGTTTTTGTAGATAAACATGTGAGCTGTCAATCTTCAGGTCAAGATAATGACACAAACACCACATATCTTTTAAAAAGGAAGCCACGAACACAGTATAATAATTAAAACACAGAACCAGGCAAAAGTTATATATATGAGATTCAATAATAATTGTATAGCATCTGGATGATGGTGTTCCGTCATCTCCAGGTGGTTACTGATGTGTCCTTCTTGAAGCCACAAAATAGAAAAGATTCCTTTCAACAGGAGCTAACAGTTTAGCTTCAGGGAGAAAATACAAGTATATAATTCAAGGTGAACAAAGTATTACTTCCTGAAGTCCTGGCTTCTTGGGCTTGGACAAACACAGACACAGCTCCGAATGGGGAAGCGCGATGTGGCAGGTATTTGTCCACACAGTGACACATGGGTCAGGGTCCACAGTGAGAATCTGAGACACCAATTATCTTTGTTCTTTTCTACAGCCTGGACTCGTGGTTCTTGGCTGGAGGGTGACTGTGCCCCCACAGGTAGCAGCTGGCAACTGTAGAGAGGGTCTGGGCTGTCACAGCTGGGGCAGGGGGTGGCGGCGGGTACAACCGCCATCTAGTGGGCAGAGGGGAGGGATGCCGCTCGACACCCCGCAATGCACAGGAGCCCCACTCTGCGAAAAAGAATCACTCCACCCTGAGAACCCCCAACTTGACTGGGGCTGTCTTCCTCAGCCTCATCAGACATCTCAACAAAACATTCAATGAGCTCAGGCCCACTAAAAATACTATAAATAAATTCCAAACCACGTGTTCCTGACAGCTTTAACTGCCCCTGATCGTCCCAGTGCTTTAGGGATACAGATGTCCCCCTTTGGAGCGGCTCCTGAAAAACTCACTTGTTGATGTTGCTTCCTTCCTTCAGCCTGTCGCCGGCAGCACCGGTTTTGGTGGCGCGTTCGCTGCCAGCTAAGTCAACCAGGCTCAGCTTGCCCACCTTCTCTCCAGATGTCTGCAAGTAGATGGACAAGCACTAAGAAACAGTCAGAGGACGCAGAGGCGGTACCGCCTCGACCAAGTGAACTGATGATCTGAATCCTTTATTAAAGTCATTCACTGTTATTTCAAAATTACTTTGTGCTGCTACAAAATGACATAAGAAAACCATACAATCTAGGAGTAGGTACGCACAAAATTGATGAAACTCCACTAATCCAGACAGAGTGAAAGTTAATTATCTCAGAAAAACAGTGCCTCCAGAATGGGCCACTTTGAAAGGATCCTAATAAAAATTTCAGAGAAGTATATGAAAGGACTTATAAGATACAAATTTTACCATGATTTAAAACCATGCTTAAAATTTCATGAATATTTATCAATCATCCTGAGGCAAAATACCTGCAATTCCTACTGATGCTAAAAAAACCCAACACATTAATCTGATTTTTATACAATAGAAGAATTCCTCAAAAAGTCAAAATATTTCTAGAGTTTTTCATCTTATTCATATATAATAATTCCTTTTTATTTCATAATTTCAGGTATTAGATTTACATCTTTTTCTAGTTAAGATATTTCATATGCATATACATATATATGTACACATACTAATATTTTCCTTTTTCAAAAATGTTCTAGTATCAAATCATATTCATGTAACAGACATTTCATTCCTCAGCAGCAATACAAAAAATTAAAAAACCAATGTCAAAATCTATACACTGGATCATTTTTAAAACTTTCCTTAAAACATACACTTACATTTATTTCCATAAATAAACATGTTGCTAACAAAAGGATATTCAGCTTCCCAGATCAAAAGTTCTTTTGGTTAAAAAAAAAAGTCCTCAGTATGTTTTTTGTTTTATGCTGAAAATGAAATGGGAAACAAAGAACTTCTTGTTGTTACACTAATCATGCTGTGATGGTAAAGTAAGAAAAACATGCTTTCAGCAAATGAGAATCCTGCCAAAACGGAGCATTTTGCCAGGGTGATTGTGTCAGCTTTGGTATGTGAAACTGATGCACTGGGGGTAAGCACCATAATAAAATAAGTAAAACTTCACAGAAGAAGAAAAACACAAACACATGCATAGACGGAGAAGTTTTCAATGTGGCAGGAGCACACGAGAGGAGACTTCAAAAAGTTCATGGAAAGATTACTATTACCCGTCAATTCTAGTTTCCATGAACTTCTGAAGTACCCTCGTACATCTCTGACTTGGTTTACTCTTCACGAGATTCAAAAGCAAATACTCAAAATATTGTTCCACAAAATTTGGTAATTTTACAGTGCAATTTCCCCAGTGCAAGTTATTCCTTCTAATATTTGGCTGTTTAGCAGAAACACTGAGAAGACCCTCCACGAAATCAGCCGAGCGCCTATACTCGCTCATATAGTCAGTCATCACAGCTGAAAGCTCTAATGCCACCGAGGCAGACTGTGGGCCGTGTGTTTGCTTAACCTCTGTCCCTCTTCCTTGAGTTGGAGAGGGTGGGGAGCTAAAGCCCACCTCTCCCAGACCCCCTGGCAGCCAGAGTTCAGGATGTGACGTAGGCTCTGCCAGTCGGCTACACTTGCTAAAGATTTGGAAAGCAGAAGGAAAGGAGAGGCCATCCCCTGCCCCCTTTTGGCTTTTTCTGCTGGCGAGCAGGATCATGGAAATGTGTGGTATTCCACTGCAGTGTTCCAGCACATTCTCCAGCTCCCAGGGTGCTACGAGGCAGCTGCACTAACTGGAGAAAATTCTTCTTCCTGCTTCCTAGATCACAGCTATGGGATGCGCCTTGCACCCACAGCTGTAGGGTGTCCTCACAGAGGGCACCATCCCTGCTGGGCCAGATCTGTGTTGTTCTGGAAGTGATTCCTAGAGAGTCAGTCCACAGCCCACTCCTCCTCAGGTGTTCCAATGACTCTGTAATCACCTAAGTCCCTGCATTAAATAGTTTTCTGTCCATCTAGAGTGGCTTCTCTTTCTTGTCCAGAGTCCTAACACACAAGTCTGGCTACAACTTTAGTTCATCTAACACCTGAAAAGAAAAAAGATAAACCATGATCCACGTCAGAGATTTAAAAAAGTCATGCATCTGAACACCTACCCCAGACTTCGTGTCACAGAGAGTGTGCGTGAGGGTGATTTTGAAGACCGCGTGGGATCGGCTGCTCTCCTCATTCATGTTGGTGGCAGCGACTGTGCGTGACTTGTTCCCCTCGGACATCAGAGACTCAATGTCCTAAGTGCACACGAGCCACAGACACACACTTACTTATTTGTGTAACAAATAGCAAAGCTCTGTTGAACTAGAAAACCATCACAAGTTTAATTACTAAGTCAACAACACATTTGGAATCTACATTTTATTTTTCAATGAACTTTAAGCCCCACAGAGTACAAGAGCCAATACTCTTGCTGCAAACCCAAATAAAGTCCATTATTTTCTATAGGTACAGAAGAAAGTGGCAGTTTTGACTAAGAATTTGAAAAGTTTGGAAGTTACGCTTTTGAGTCACACAAGATGGACCAATATGCCATGCCAATCCTCATCTAATTTAGAATTGAAAAAACTTAGCTTCTTTAATTACAGAATCAATACAAGTATACTGTTAAAACAAATTAGATTATACAAATAAGCAACAAACCAATGAAAATAACTCGATAGTCCTGTACCAGGCATATCACTAACTATCACCTTGGTGAATACCTTACCAGATGTTTTTAAAAATAAGAACATCCAGAGACTAATTTTCTGCATAGAATTACTACTCAATTGCTATTACTACTAAAAAACAGACAGCATAAGACTGGCTGGGTAGCTCAGTTGGTTAGAGTGTGGTGTTGATAACCCCAAGGTCAAGGGTTCGACCCCTGTTATCAACCAGCCACCCAAAACAAAACAAAAACCAGACAGCACAATGCAACAGGAAGGTAATGGGATTTTCATTTTTTAAGGTATTATAAGCTCTAAAACAGTTACCCAGCCCATGTGAATTTTAATTTCATTAATAACAACGCAGAGCTGTAACATCATCATTTTCCCTCAAGGACTTTAGTCTGGAACAAGAAAGGCGGTATGTGTGAAAGAGTGGGCCAGCTGCATCCCGTCATGCGGTCCCCTCTCCTTCCCAGTCCAGGAACCCAAGCTTTATTTTTTTCTTTTTTTTTTTTTTTTTTTAAAGATGACCGGTAAGGGGATCTCAACCCTCGACTTGGTGTTGTCAGCACCACGCTCAGCCAGTGAGCTGGGATTTTCATTTTTTAAGGTATTATAAGCTCTAAAACAGTTACCCAGCCCATGTGAATTTTAATTTCATTAATAACAACGCAGAGCTGTAACATCATCATTTTCCCTCAAGGACTTTAGTCTGGAACAAGAAAGGCGGTATGTGTGAAAGAGTGGGCCAGCTGCATCCCGTCATGCGGTCCCCTCTCCTTCCCAGTCCAGGAACCCAAGCTTTATTTTTTTCTTTTTTTTTTCCTTTTTGTCTTTTTTACTGACTGGTAACGGGATCGCAACCCTCGGTGTCACGCCCGTACCGGGGACCGGCAACGGGATCGCAACCCTCGGTGTCGCGCCGCACCACGCTCAGCCAGTGAGCGGGAACCGGTCTCCACATGGGATCCGAACCCTCGACGGGAGTGCCACCGCACTCACAAGCGGCGCACTCTCCAGTGCACCACCGGGCCGGCCCCAGGAACCCAAGCTTTAGCTGAGACAACACGGCACAGCCAGGAGACCACGCTTCCCAGATGTCCTTGCAGCTCTGTGTGGCTGCGTGGCTAAGGTGTGGTAAGACACACATATGACACAGGTCATCTGGGAACTGCTAAAGGGAGCAGGCATGCTGTCACATTTTGAGCTTTGAGAAACATGGCATTGCCATGTCTCTGTGGAGTGCTGGAAGGAATCCAGGTCACTAATAACACCTTTGGAGTCACCACACCAGCCCGGGAGAATCTACCTCAGACTTCTTTACATGAAAAGTCTTGTTCACGTCACCACATATTCTTTCATTTATTTATTCAAATGTATATTGACAGCACCTACCATATGCCAGGTACTTCCTAGACACTAAGGATACATAGTCAACCACAGAACTTAAATCCTGTCATATTTTTTACGCTATATGCAGCTGAATCCCATTCTAACAGACACACATATGTGAAAAACTTTGAAAATAACAGGATTCTATTTTGCTGTATAAGTGAAAAAGAATAATGTTTAAGGAAAAATTCAACACAATAGATAAAAAGCCTCAAAGTGAAAACATTAATTGCAAAAAGAGGTATAAGTAGGCAGCAGAATGGAAAAATAACAACAAAAGATAAAACTCACAATTTGCTAGACCCATTCCAAACCCACTTTGGATCTGTTAAGTCTGACCATCTTGAGGCTTGTTGTAAAAGCTTTATCCTATTTAACCTACATACATCCACTGGTGTCCAATCTATCATCTCATTTTTAAGATTTTTGTAAAAAGTGATTAAGTGATACTATTATAAATTTAACTTATAATAATAGATTAAACCAAAACAAAAAACTTCACCACGTGGAATTTAAGTAGTTCACATAAAGGACGTTGTTACCTTGTAGCTTGTGACAGCCAGTTTGGAAAGTCCATCAACATAGGGTCCCAGCACACTATGCTCTCTGACTTTCAACGTTTGACGGCTTCTGTTCATGAACAACAAAGAAACCATTTTTTAACAATAACCTGTTTTTAAAAGGACTCAAGTGTGCTCCATAAAATTCAAGAAAGACCTCAGATAAATAAAACCAATGGACTTGATTCCAGAAGAATTTAGACCAAAGTTTAAAATCTTCACAGGAAAGAAAACTTCATAATGTGGTAAAATATCACATCACTCAAAGGGTGCAGCGTGGGATGTCTATTTACAACCACGAAGAATGAAGAGTCAAAAAATGTGAACAATCTACCGGTCACCTCACAGAGTGTAGCACAGAGAGCGGAAACTCAGCAAATGTTAACTGTGCAAGAAACTACAATCTCAACCAAAATGAAGACGAAGCAAAGACAACAAACTGAATCTTGTAATGATTTAAAAACACAAAATGCGCTTATCCTAGGGTGGCTACACTGTTTTACGCTGGGAAAAAAAAGATTAATGCACTTTATTGCATTGACGTGTTTATCACAATACACCACGGAGTACACGACATTGTACCCATAAATACATACAGTTATTATCTGTGAATTAAAAATAAAATTTAAAAAGAGAATATGCTAGTGAGATTACAGGTGATTCCTATTTCATGTTCTTTTATTTACCCATACATTCTACTATGAATATATATTCATTTCAAACTACACAAAATTTTGCTTTTTAACTAAATAATCAATTATAATGCTTAAAATTCTTTGGTGGTTCTTCTTTGCCTATGAAATAAGGTCCGCACTGCTGAGCTTGATATATCTGCTCCTTTATAATCTGCTCTTGCCCACCCCCATTCTCCCAACTTCTCCTAATGTTCACCTGGGGTCAGAATCAGTTCATAAATACCTGTTCTTTGATAGATACTGGGCTCAGAAGAGCCAGAACAGCGTGTCACTCATCTCTGGGTCTGCAGTCCCTAGCACAACTCCTGGCACATCCGAGCCACTCACAAATGAACACACCTGGCCAAGAAGTGAAAACGAAAGAGAGAATTAAGCTGGCCAAGAGGACACTAACATGCTGGCCCACGTGATTTGGAGAGAGAGTGCTGGAAACAAAAGAAGCAGGAGGGGAAAGGAAGAAATGTGGAGAAGAACGAATGGGATGAAGCACTGCACAGAACCGGGGACGCACCTGCCACGGCTGCGAGGCAAGAGCAGAGGGCGGGAGGAGCCGCAGGACAACCTTGCACGTGAGCAGCAAAGTCGGGGAATGAGGAAATGACTCTTGACCAAGACGTCTGTTGTCCTCCAGGATTCTAACTGTGACTGAATATTTTCTAGTGATCTGGGACTCACAGTTCCCTGGGATCACCCACTGACCACCTCACGTATGCTACATCACCACAGAACTTTCTTCTCAGCATAGTTACATCACTATACTAGCAGAGGCTGAGTTAATAAAATCAGTAGGCGAGGTTCTCTCCAATAGTCTTTGGCTGAAACTAGATCACCTCACTTTTTAACTCATCCACTTTGACTCTTCAGAACACACAAAAAAATCCTCCAGAACTTTCCTGGGTACACTACCACAGCCACCACTGCTGAACACCAACTGTCTGCCATTAAATGCCCCAAGACCTCAGGAGCCCACCTGTGTGTCCGCAGGACAGCCCTGGGAGACAGGCGTAGCCACCTCATGCCCTCTATGCGGGGCAGCCTGGCAGGCTTAGAGAGAGCAGCAACTTGCTCGGCAGGTAATAAGCAGAGGACTGGGGTCCCCAGTCATGTGGACCCACAGCCTGTGCTGTTGATTGCCATCCTGTATGAAAGGCAGACACACACGAGACACTAAAACCCATGACCAAGTGTACACAGTAAAGCCCAGACTGCCCCACATGCATGCCACGGAGTGCACTGCACAAGTATGGATAGGCATGAGGTGGTCGCTAAACAATCCTGGAGAGAGTAGGTCTGGGCCGGACCCCAAAGGAAGTGACGACTTTCACAGAGGGAAAGGGCAAGAAAAAGTACTCAAGGCAGAGTGAGGAAACGTGCACAGGTGCAGTACTCTGCACAATTCATGCAGGTCCTTGGGCCATGACCTACCCATCTCCGGCCTCCTCTGACCCATCCCAACTTCTGTGCCCTCCACCCTCCAACCACGCCGACTGCCAGAGCCTTCTCCCAGCTGCTGGTCTCTGCACCTCCACGCTCAGGCATGGGCCGCTCCTGTGCCTGAGTGGTTCTCACCCAACTTCTCAGTGCACAGACTTCTGCTTAATGTGGAGCTCTTCGAGCACTCTCTGTGGAACCTTCCCTTCTCTGGGCAAAGTCGGTTTCCCCCTCTTTGCTCTCTATTTCGATTTAACCTCCTTGACCAGTTAAAAGCAGATTGCACTGTATTATAATTATTTGTGTATGAAATTCTCACTCTGCCCACACTGTGAGCTCTTCCTCCATGACTTGCATGGTGCCTGGCACATAGCGAATGATTACTCAGTGAATGTTTTGTTACATAAATTTTGTATAGAAACTCTAGCACCAATGC